ATCCTGGATTCCACCATTAGTTACCATCGCCAATTTAATTAAAGTAGAATAATGATCGAGGCATTGTACAGGAAACAAACATGTCAACCTGAGGCCAAGCACTTCTATCCAATCAGTCAATGGGGAAGTGTAAATTGAATTAAATGATTTGTTTTATTGATATGAAAAGTTTAGGAAACGCTAATATCCACCTCACAGAATAGAAAACTAAATTGGCAAGGATGATGAAATTCTACAACCACAAAATTTATACAGGCAACCAACCATGCAACCTAAACCAGAAAAGCACCTGAGCTTCGCAATGCAATAAGCGCCAAAACTACTGTCTTAACTGTGTGATTTAGAAACCGTGGCCAAACTCATCTATCTGGTCAATAAAGTTTACAAATTAAAAAAAACCCAGCCCAATCGATTGAGACCTTGATTCCTATCAATCATACTAATGCTTAAAGGTTATTTGTCTGACCTATTTCTTTTTGCTGATTGGCTGACTGAAATGGGCCAATAGGCGTTTAGAAAAGGTAGACATATTTTGTGAACTGCCCTGTGACATTAAATAAACCTACGTAAGCTACCAATCCCCCCTTGCAGAATGCATCGAGTATATTTAGAGCACTCTCTGCTGCTTATTGTGTCTTTCTAGTCTGTGGATTGCATTCGGATTTCGTCAACCGTACAACGAACATGTTGCTTCCTAATCATCCTGCTCCAGAGTTTCAAGGTACAGCCGTTGTAGGCACTGAATTCCGCCCCATCAGTTTGAGTGAATATCGAGGGCAATACGTTATATTACTATTCTACCCGTTAGATTTGTAAGTCGAATTCCCCTAAATTCTGACCATATCTGAAAATGATTCTACACTCTCACGTGAATAACAAAATGCCCTTCTGTTCTTCTTGTTTTTTTTATCATTAAAGCACATTCGTATGTCCAACGGAGATAATTGCATTCAGTGAAAGAGCTGCAGACTTTAAAAGTCGAGGATGTCAAGTTATCGCATGTTCTACTGATTCTGTTTATGCTCATTTGGCATGGACGAAATTGGATCGTAAAGCTGGAGGATTGGGTCAAATGAATATACCACTTTTATCTGATAAGAATTTGAAAATATCACGTGCTTATGGTGTTCTGGATGAAGAGGAAGGTCATGCATTCAGGTGAGTAGTACTGATTTGATTGTGCGTGTATCTTTGTTTAAGTAAAGATTTTGAAATTACGCAGGCATGGCTGAACCCATATACAAGTATCTCTCATCTCACGGGAGTCTCGATTCAAAACAGTAGCTAGCTAATATTTCTAAATTCTCATAATGTAGCATCTGTAGATTATAATCTTATCACTGCATTATTGTACTCCTTTGGGTTCTGAATGGAATAGAGGGCTCCAACACTTCGTCTCCATCGCTTCCTGTTATGTGCAATCCCTTAGTAGCTGGTTCCACGATTGGCCAGGTCACTCTTGGACGTCCGACTGTTCGTTTTCCATTCAGGTTCCGATCGAGGACCTGGTGTGTGATGTTACTACTCTGCATGTGTTTGACCCATTCTCATTTTCGTGCTGGTTGTTTTTTCTGGTCATTTTATTAACTGATGACTTGAAAAACTGTTCCTTGTAGTTACGTACGTTAGGCTGTGTAGAAAATGCATAAACCTTCACATAACCAACTGTTTTTGGGCAAATGATTATATAAGGATTGTTCGCCTACCTGGTGAATGCACTAGCTGTCATGGTTTCCAGTACTGAAGCCGTCTCACCATTGTCTATGAGAAGTTCTGTCATGTACTTAACAGTGCTGCATAAGTGTTATTCGATATGACCGTGCAAATCCCTAGTTGACCATTTAACTTTCTCATTTCAGGGGCATGTTCCTCATTGATCGTCAAGGTATTTTACGTCATATCACTGTGAATGATCGTCCAGTAGGCCGATCTGTGGATGAGGCAATTCGTGTGTTGGACGCATTCATTTTCTTCGAAAACCATGGTGAAGTTTGCCCTGCTAACTGGAAACCAAATTCAGCTACAATGAAACCTGATCCAGTTGGAGCTATGTCTTATTTCTCAAAGATGAACTGAGATGTTTACCTCTCTTTTTGTATTCATTTCTTACTATTCTCATAGTTGGCATTAAATAAACTTAAAATTTCCATAATTTTGAAGGGTTCTTATTTCATGTTTCTGTGTGTATTTTGGCTAAATGTGATGGTTTAGGGCAAGGAGTTAGTCTGTCTGTCTGTCTGTTTTCGACATAGAACTTTGCACAAATGTGCGGAAGTTCAAGTCGCCACATTCCGTGTAGCACGCGAAGCAAGAGAAGAAAGTACAAGAAAAGCATAATAGAGACAGTGAGCAGAGGTGTGAGACAAAGGAGGAGTAATAACGAAGAACAAAACAGTTTCATTGGAGATCATAAGTCACAAGGAGTGGATGCATCTGCACTGTCACTGAGAACGATTTTGAGCCATGTCACCAATTGTTTCCAACCATAGATTTTTACCGTCCCGAGGACCCCAGCCTGGAAGTCTACGCCTTCCTACGTGGCTTAGACCAACTGTTGTGGATTTCATTGACTGATGCCAAGTTTTTGTTTGACCGCCGCTAGCTTTTTTCCAGCCTGACCCTATATCCGCTAACATAGCTCGTCGAGGGAGGCGATGGCTTGGCATACGTAACACATGTCCTAACCATCTCAGTCTTTGTAGGTTCACGACTTCGTCGATTGATTTCCCCTGTTTACCTAGAACTCTACGCCTAACCTCCATGTCGCCCACCTTATTATGCCACTTTACACGGGAAATAGAACACAGGCACCTATGATCAAAGACAGCTAGTCTTTTCATGTCTTCCACTCTCAGTGGCCAGGTCTCACAGCCACTATGAAGGAGGACGGAGCGGACTGATGAGCAGTACACCCGCCCTTTGGTCGATAGTCGAACATCTCGTCTACGCCAAGGAGTTAGAGGCAGCTTGAAGCTCAGAGGTATTGCAATCGTTTCTTGGTAGGTGTTGGGTGTAGCGGTCCTTCAGTTTACGTATTGTAGTCCGCAATTTCGAAGTGTGTCAGTCAGGAAGGACTCTACCCGAGCAGTAGTTCGTCACGCTTATAGTTAACTACATTAAGATGTTTCGTTTTAGGCATGCGAATGAAGTACCTTGGTTTTAAGTGTTATTCACTCGGTAGATAAAAGATAGAAGCTTTAGCTCTGGATTGTTAACAAAGAGAGACGTTGGATATTTCACCAGAATATTTTCCTGAAAGGTCATGGAATTGTAGAGGTATAGTGAGGTACAGTAAGATTGTAAGTTGGTGGGATTGTCGCACATGCCTTATGACGATGACATACGTTTCTCACTATCCTTAGAGCTCAGTGTATCAGACAGCCTCTAGAAGCTAATTCTTTCCAACGAAGACAAAAATATCCTAAGTGTCTCTGGGTTTTTTATACTTCTAGCTACCAGATCTCTCTCATCATTTCCAGTTAAAGTGCGGATGACCATTGTGAGCACAAGCCAATAAGTTATTTGAATTTTCCCGAGGAACTTAGTGGCTCGTTTTTCATAGAGGAACTGTTTGTTTGATAATTTCCAGGAAGGGACTTGCTTTTTTTAGTGACAAATATATATTGTTCGCGAAAACATTTCCGTAGAGTGGTGGCAAATCAAGTTGAGACATGTAAATGTTTGACTAATTTCCGACATGGAGCTTGCACAGAAGTTTAGCAGCTCAAGTTACTACAGTTCACATAGGACACAGAGGTGTAGAAAATCAGTTTCAAAGGAACTGTGGTGAACAGGCTGAATGGTAGCATGAGAAACATGAGGGTGTAGGGGACATTGTTTGCAAACAGTGGGTGCACCTGCACCCTCAAGCCATTGATTCTCAGCATCCTGAGGATCCAAAACCAAGTACTGTCTGTTTTCGACATAGAACTTTGCACCGATGTGCACCAGTTCAAGTCGCCACACTCCATGTAGCACACAAAGCAAGCGAAGAAAGTAGAAGAAATGCATAATAGAGACAGTAAACAGGGGTGTGAGACAAAGGAATAGTAATAACGAAGAACAATATAATTACATTTGAAATTATAAGTTACAAGGAGTGGATGCATCTGCGCCATTGAGAACGATTTTGAGCCATATCACCTCCCTACATGACTAGTGGCTCAAACCAAATTTCGTAGACCTAATGTCAGGAGGTAACGTTACTTGTTGAGGAATGCAGTAGCTTGGCTGGTATACGTAACATGTCACCTAGCCAACATTCCAATCAATATAGCTTCATAACCAACTGACTTCTCTTTCCTACCCAACAGCATATAAAATTTTAGCAACTTTGAGACTAGTGGTATTATTTTCATTTTTGATTACAGCTTGATTCCACACCGTATTTTTGGGACAAGTGTGGAATTTTCAGCGTGGATATCGGTAGCCCAAAATTCGCAGGCCGACACCATAGATATAAGGTGTGCGTCGGCGTGGGCTCGAACCCCGGACCATGTGCAAGGTCGGCGAGAGTCCTAACCACTGTGCCACCGGTAGGTAATTCCTCAGAATTATTGCCCACAGCATTCATTGGATGCTGGTCCTCGCTGTTTAAGTTAACTTGTTTAGCTCAAGGTTTTCTGTCAAGCATCCACGCCATTTGGTACGCCGTCGTGTCACGTTCGTTCGTTCGTTCGTGCACGATCTCAAGCTAGCTAGTTAAGCAATCATCTCGCACTCCGATTTGGTCCCGAAATATAACTCGTAATTTGGACGGTCAATTCTGTTGTTTTGCTTTGCCTTTGGTATTCGCCGAACGAATACTATAGAAGTTGTGGATATTAGGTCTTGCGTTAGTATACCTTCGTACCATCCATGAATGTCAATACCTTATGACTCTAAAAGACTATTTGCTAGTTTCAAGTTTACATCCTCACAACGTCTTCTTGAAACTGAATCCCACACATACATACACACACGTATTTATAGATAAACGTGTACATTATAAACTGACTTACCAGTTTGTGAAGAATCATGCGGAGTTTTTGGTTGATTGTAAGTTGCATCACGTGGATAATGAATATCACGTTTAGATGTTGGAGAGAGTGGAGGCGGTGGATGACGTTTATGACCTGGTCGATGATCATCAACGACTTTGATTTCTCTATCAGGTGGAGTTAAACGGTGTTCTTCACGATCAGCTGGAATATTTTGTAAAAGAAATAAATGAGCACGAGGCAATCAAGTTATCATGTTAGAATGTTACTTAGTTAGGTTATCAGTTCCGTACGTCAACGACCAGTTGTTTCTCAAGATAATCAGTAGAATATGTTGGTGGTAATAAAGTATTTAAACTGTCTCAAGCTTATTCTTTTGAATAATTTCTTGGGCTAAAGGAAGATAAATTTGGAAAGTACTATATGTATCCTGTCTATAGTGGTACACACAGAATTTTTTCTTGCATCAAAGCCCCTTTATTGTATCGAGCACCGTGTTCCCTCTGTAAGGTAAGTGACTACGGGAAACTTATAAGGATGTGGAGTTTTCAGAATTGAGATTTTACGCAATCCTAAGTCAAAAATCTTAAGGCCATTCCTTACAAGTATTTAGTAGGATCATGTTAGGTTTTGTGGCATGTTAGAGGATTTCTTTACTTTATTGCTGCTTTTGAAGGTAATTTCCACCTTAGATATCAATGTAAATCGGAGAGTCTCATATACATATGGTTCAGCCTAGACTCTAAAATATAATCATCGCTTATAATGACTGTCACTGAGTTTAGACGTAGAACTTTGCACAGATGTTCACCAGTTCGAGTTGCCACACTGCCTCCGTGTAGCATATAAAGCAAGAGAAGAGAGTAAAGTGAGACGATAAACAAAAGTGTGAGGTAAAAAGAATGGTAATATGGAAGATTTTGATCCATATTATCAGTTGTCTCCAGCCATTATTACTTCTTACCATTCCCAGGACCCCAACCAGGTAGGCGGGTAATCTACACCTCCCTACGTAGCAGCTGGATTAAACTAACTGTTATGCATTTCATTGACTAATGAAGCCATGTTTTCGTCTGATCAACACCACTTACTCTCTCTTTTCCAACCTGATCCATCTCCTGTCAGTCAGCTAACATTGCTTGTTGTCGAGGAAGGCAATGGCTGGGCATGCACAACTACACATGTCCTAACCATCTCAATCGATGAAGCTGCTTCACAATCTTGTCAACTGATTTCCCCTCCCACCTACCTATCACTCACTCGAGTGAGGCCTAACCTGAATATTGCTCACCTTATTACACCTACCACTTAACACGGGAGATAGAACTCAGACACCAATGATCAAAGACAACTAGCCAGCCTTTTCATGTCTTCCACTTTCAATGGCCATGTCTCACAGCCAGCCAGCAGCCATAAAGGAGAACGAAGTGGACTGCAGCTGAGCAGTATACACTATACGTCCTTTGGTTGACGGCCAACCGGATATCACGTTTACTAAGCCAGAGATGTCGTAATTTGTCAGGCGAAGACCAAACGTGCCTTCTGTATCCATGCTGAGATTTTGTCAATGATAAACCCGCTGGCGTTGACTGATGTGGTCAGCACGCATCAACCGCTTCACATCTGACTGTCTCTAAGCTAGAAGTGAGTTAATGTAGTCCAGTTGTGTAACATCATCTTACATCTGGCGGGAGTAAATCGCACGCCAAAACATTCTCAGATTGTAGCTCAAAGTGTTCAGAAGACTTTGCTCAGTTTTGTCAGCGTCTTCACCTGCATATTTTTAAGTCGAGGAGATTATTCCCCGGTAACAAGTCAATCAATCCTTGAGTCACTGAATTCAGTTAGAGTTAAGTTGACAGTAGTACAGCATTTCAAGTTGCCACAGAATTCCACATACAAAAGAAGGTAACGACAAACGTATCTAGAGAAACCATACTTATTAAAAATCCGCGGGAGAAAGACTAGTAACATGAAGAAACAGGACGATTAAAGGCATCTGAAAAGATTACAAACAGCAAATATATTTGAGCCATATTACCAACAGTCTCCATCTATTGGTTTTTAACATCCTGAAGACCTCAGCCAAACCAAACAATCCAACTAATAAAGTTATAATAATTAACTTGAGGTTCATATAATAACGTCATTCTGCAACAACCTTTAAACTTTTCATAACTGTATTCAATGAGACCATTTACCCAAGACAGGTAGGTTTTTGTTAAAAATCACCTCAGGCTATGAGGCTGTATGTAGTATATTATTAGGAAGGCAATGATACTACCCAGTTCCCCTCCCCCCTCCAGCCCTAGGCTGAAGTAAGCTGAGCAGGACTCGAACCCGGAGCTAGATGGTTAGAACAGAAGTCGGCTAGCAAAGAGATCTCTCTGTTTGTAACTCCACTTAAAATCTCTAGGGGGTATAAATATGTGCAGTGTTAATTGTCGAAAGGAGAAGTGACACAGAACAATCAATAGCTCCGGTTTCTTTTCTATCATGGCCTTAGGGAGTCGACTTTAATTCCAAAAACTTGTTACATAATAAACTCCATGTAGTCTTTTTATTATTATCATCTGTAACCCTATTTTCAATTCTTTGTTCCATTATTCCCCCTGTCACAGTTGTTTTCAAATAACTAATCATCATTTAACTCTCTCGATTACGTAGGGTTATTATTATTGTTCCCCTGGGTTCCGAGTGGAACATAGGGCTTCAGCAACACATCTCCATTTTGTTCTATTTTCTGCTCTCCTCTTCATCTGAGTCTACGATTCCCCCTCCTCGTCACACCATTTCCTACATGTCCCCCTCGCACCAACAACCCACTCGTCCCTTCCCATTTAGATTCCACTCGAATAATGGCCTGCATTGTGTGCGTGATGTCATTTGACAGTCTTCTCAACATATGCCCTATCAATCCATCTCCATTTTTTCCTATATATTGGTTGTGAGCAATCGGCTCTCGGCGTCGATGGCATAGCGGTTAGGACGCTCGCCGACCATACACGTGGCCCGGGATTCGATCCCCGACCACAGACGTACTCCTTTACCTCGCTAAGCCAGTAATAAATAATGCTGGTAAAGAGAAAAGGTGGGGCATGAGGCTAGCAAGCCTATCTTGTAAAAATGAACTCTGCTACAGAAACTTCAAGCCACTAGCTTGAAGCCCGGTGTTTCAAGTCGCCACACTCCCTCCTTGTAGCACACAAAGCAAGAGAAGAAATGCATAATAGGGACAGTAAACAAAGGTGTGAGACAAAGGAATAGTAATAACGAAGAACAATATAGTTCCATTAGAAATCATAAGTCACAGGGAGTGGATACATCTGCGCCAGCCAGCCATTTAGAACGATTTTGAGCCATGTCACCAATTGTTTCCAACCATTGGTTTTTACCGTCCCGAGGACCCCAACCAGGAAGTCTACACATTCCTACGTGGTTTTCTTAAACTAACTCTTGTAGATTTCATTGACTGATGAAGCCATGTTTTGGTTTGACCTCCGCTACTTCTTTTCCAGTCTGACCATATATCAGCTAACATTACCCGTTGAAGAAGGTGATGACTAGGGAAAGATGAGGCGTTAGGTGTGGAGCTAGTGACCCTACCGCAGAAAATCAATCAAACTGCTACAGAACCTTCACCACATAAGATAAATATCAAAAACATTTTATACTAACCCCTGAAATAAGTAACTGTTCAGCTTTCAAAATGAAATTGCGAGAGAAAAAAGGGAGTTCTGTTTTTCCTGACTGACTTATGTGTTAAGAAAATGATGTAAACAGCGAAAGAACATTTCCCCTTTTCGATGATTCATTTTCATAAGCTGCTGTGTACAATCGTAATTATATATTTAACAAAGAGTTCATAAGACCAATCGCATATTGATAAATTTTTTTACGAAATATATCATGAGCATCCCCGTATGAATGCTTCACAGTGCTACGTAGAGTTCTTTAATTTTCCCATTTATATATAGCTGAATCATTGGCTATTAGGGATCTGAAACCGGACCTCTGCTTTCAGTTGTAATACATACATACATTCATTCGCCAACTTACCGTGGACAAAGTAACATTTTTTCCCTTCACGTTCCCCGGTGGAACATAGGGCTTCAAGCTAGTGGCTTGAAGTTTCTGTAGCAGTGTTTTATTTTTACAGGATGGGGTTGCTAGCCAGCCTCATACTCAACCTTCCCTCTTTACCAGCTTTATTTATTACTGGCTTAGTGAGGCGAAGGAGTACGTCGTTGGCCGGAGGTCGAACCCCTGACCACATGAGGCGTTACTGGCAAGCATTCTACCGCTGTGCCATCGACTCACAAATTACGATTCTAGGGCGTATGCAAATGAATCGTCGTAAAGAAAATTTTCCCTAATGAATTGTGTGTTCTTAATTACCTCATTTTTTTAAACGGTATGACTCAGTGCTTGCTAAATGAAAATAGGCTGTACGATTAAGTGTATTTATCCCTTGGATTTATTTATGGGCTGGTCATTGGATCGGGTCCCAGTGGCTTAATGGTCTGCAAGCTCGCTGGCCTTGTAACCAGAATGTCATGGTTTCTAGCTGTGACGGTAAATGTGTACTGATGAAGTGTCCCAAACTAGGACAAGTCAGATGCCCACTACTCCAGTGCTGGTTTTCCTATGGTTCTTTAACCGATGTCAGCTCATGAGGAAATCCTCCAACTATGAAAATATTGAATAATCGATATTATAACGTCTTTCTTAAATGAATAAATAAATAAATCGGAAATATACATATGAATAAATGGGTGTCAACTTTTTATTGCTATCATTAAGTGATTGATGATAAGTGTTTTTAGTTTACTATAATTCATAAATCGGAAAAAAAACATGGAAAGTGTTTAAATAATAGAACAAATCAATACCCAATAGGTGATGTGATTAAAAAATCAATACTTGAGAATTAATTCACCGTCTACCTATAACAGACTACAGGATGAATTTTGTGGAGTTCTGAGTCAAAGTTATGACTGTGTGGAATCCGTTGTGGAATCAGCTTCGGTGGACAGATAGACACCAATAATATTATCTGGAAGTGAAATGCCTGGATGGTGGCACAATCACCAAGTAATCTAATGACTTTAGCCTCCTGGCCTAGTAGCATCATCGATGCGAACTGTTGAAGAGTTCTATGCTAAGACGAAATACCTATATAGTAGGCTGTAACTGAAGTTCAT